CTCTTTCCTCTCAAGTTCCTTCATTTCTTTTCGCAATTGGATGGCATTGAACTTTCAGATGAATGTATACTTCGAAATTGGCCAGGATCGTAACAATGGGCTGTTTGGATGTTTGCGGGTGGCCACGAGTTCTCTTTGTGGGGAATGTATGTTTTGTGGGCCGGCGAGGAAGGCTTTCCCAGTTTTTTCGGACCCTTAGTAGGGGGGGGTCGGTGCGTTCTTGCTGGAGGAGTCTTCTGTCTTAGGTAAGTTGTGTCTTATCTTCTTCGTCCTCTTTGGCAGTGACGAGAGTGTGAAGTTCGAGATGAATGTTAGGAATGCCAATGCTCTTATATTTGTTGTGTGGGCCGATGCGGAACGCTCTCCAAGTTTTTTCGAACCTTTGAGGGGGTCAGGTCGGTGCCTTCTTGCTGGAGTAGTCTTCTGTCTTAGGTAGGTTGCCTTCTGCCCTCCATCCCCTTATGGTTTGAACATATATGTATACAGATTTAATAATGCAAGATTTGCCGCTTTGGCGGCAGACGGGTGTGTGGGCACTTGGTGCTGAACCACACAGACGTGGCCAACCTTGCATTTTCTATTATATTGCCTATCTATATTTTTTCGCTATGGATGGCTTGTGGTGATATGTGAAGGGAATGAGAGAGAGAATGTGGGGTCCTTTAAAACCACACACACACACACACACACACATACACATGCATACTCACACGCACACACATGCACACGCGCGCACGCACACACACACCCCATTGGCATGTGTGGCCGGTGCTTTTTTGTTAGTGGAGCCTTTTGTGTTATGCTGTTTTGTGTTTTTTTTTGTGGGCCGATGCGGAGGGCTCTCCAAGTTTTTTCGGACCTATGGCAGATGGGCTCGGTGCTTTCTTGCTGGTGGAGTCCTCTATCTTAGGTAAGTTGCTTCTTGCCCTTCACACTTTTATGGATCAAATAAATATATGTATATATCATGGTTGTTCCGGACCCGGACAACCGGACAACCGGACAACCGGACACGGACACCGGACCCGTGTCTGGATCAAACCGGACGTCCGGTTAACCGGACAACAAACCGGACATCCAGACATCCGGACCCGGACAGTCCGGTTTGCTGTATTGGTGTCCGGTTGTCCGGACAAACACACACACACACACACACACACAAGCAGATAAATGCACCAAGATTCCATCCAAATAAGAGCAAAGCGGTGAACTCGTGTGCCAAGATCCTCACACACGAGAGAGAGAGAGAGAGAGAGAGAGAGAGAGAGAGAGAGANAGAGAGAGAGAGAGAGAGAGAGAGAGAGAGAGAGAGAGAGAGAGAGAGAGAGAATGGATCCCCTTAACACGGCTCAGACGGCCCATGCAGGCTATCTGAAGGGTCCTCGCAGCCATGTAGCGCAGACCCTCCACCAAAATCGAGGCAGGCAGTGAATGTGAAGTAGATCACGAGCTGGCCGAATATATACTCAAGATTCGAATTCAGGTCTGTGTTTCAGCAGTTATGGGTGGTTGCTCGCGTAGCTAGGCCCTGTTGATCTCTGCACGGGACTCTCAGGGCTTGGCTGCACTACTCACGAAATGTGCAGAATTAGAATGAATCTGATGCAGAACGTGGAATAATACGCCACCATATGTTTTGTCTTTTGTGCATTTGGTGAGTAGAGGCCCTTAGGGCCACTGCACGTATTCCTAAGAAAAGAAAAACGAGAAAAGAAAAGAAAAACGAGAAAATAGAGAAATAGTGACCCATAACCGAGATGCACAGACCTGAATTCGAATCCAGACTATATATTCTCTGCCCACGCCCACCAAATACAAGTTTGAAGTGTACCTCTGCGTGACGCAGGGTCCTAGCTTATACGCTCTAGGGATTCTTCGGAAAAGAGGCTGCTGCAAGTATGGTGCCAATGTTATCACACAGAGGGCCCTTTTAGGGCCTGTCCGGTTGGGGTACTGGTTCTCAAAAAACATCAGCATTATTTTTCTGGGGTACCCCAGGCCCAGGTAAACGGCCTGGGAACCCCAAAAAAAAAATTCGAATTTTTCAAAATTGAGGTCCAACCGGACCCTCCGAACCAGACACCGGACACCGAACTGTTTGGATTGGGATCCGGACGTCCGGTTGGTAACCATGGTATATATGTATATTTGCAAGTGGGCTGCTTCGGCAGCACACGGGTGTGTGGGCACTTGGCAGTTAACCACACATATGTGGCCAACCTTGCATTTTCTATTATATATCTATATTTTTTCGTAATGGATGGTTTGTTATGATTTGGGGAGGAAATGGGAGAGAGAATTTGGGGTGCTTTAACAGCACACACGCACACACACACACACTGTGGACCTCGCAGTGGTCTCACTGTACCACTAGGACATCATTCGATTCTGCAGGTTGCACGGCAGGGGGACGTTCATGGCACTATTGGTGTTGCATACAAGTCCTGTGGTGTATTTCTCATTTGTGGTGGTGTTGTAGGCCGTTGCA